TACTACAAATTCAGTATGTAGTGCAGAGGATAGCATTGGTGTGTCTCTTATCTTGTTGTAATTCCTTATGTAGGGAAATTCTTTCTGGACAGACAGCTCAGCCTCAGTTACATGTTGCCACACAGCTGATGCTACAGACTGCTTAAGATCCTGTCCTATACATGTTACCTTCAGAGATTGTAATATATTCTCCTATCCATCAATTCAACCCATCAACCCAGTCTTCATACTTACAAGATGGACCCCATTTTCCAAGGAGACTTGCCATTTCAAACAACATAGAGAAAAACAGTCACCCTGGAATTCCCCCAGGAACATTCTGCCTTCAAACACAATAGCCTTTAGTTGCATGTCTTTCTGCCCACAGCAAAGATAATGGAGCTGCTAACGACAAGAAGACATGTCGTTCTACACCACATGGGGGCAGACAGTCCTACCAGGATTCTGCCCCCCCACCTCTACTCCCCGCCAAATCCACTACCCTTACCCCACCCTTAGGTGGCTTAGCATCCATTGCCTGTCTCATCACTCACATCAGACACTGGAACTGCTCCTCCAAGTCTCATTTTTTGTTCTTTTGTGCCCTAGATTATGGTGTCAAGTGTTGGGTGAGCTTTTCTTGAGGAAATGGGCAAACAGTTATTCACCCCAGGTAGGAAACCAACAACAGATCAAAGAAATGTTCTGTCCAAGTCTACTTGTTGCACCAATGAGTTTCATTAACATTACTTACAGGATCATAGGAAAGGGGTCATTTCCTGCAACGTGGATAGCTTATGAGCACCTACACCACTTAAGAAAAAAACCTCTCCCTTGGGGCTGGAGAGGTGGCTCAGCGGTTGAGAGCACTGACTGCTCTTGCAGAGGACCCGGGTTTGATTCCCAGCATCCACATGGTGGCTACGAACCATCCCTAACTCCAGTTCCAGGGGAATCTGAAACCCTCTTCTGACCTCTGCAGCATTGTACGACACGAGTGCGCTCACATACATTCAGGCAATACACTCATACACATAAGATAAAAATAATAAATAAAGTATTAAAAAACCTCTCCCTCTCCCAGCACCTGTTAACTGCTTATAGATTCTTGGGGGAGGGCTAGGACCTCTTTAGTTCCCTCTCTCCAATGAAGGAACATCAGTCAGACCAATCTTGTGCAGATCTCCAGTAATCCAAGCTGCTGAGAGTTCAAGAGGGTAATGGCCATGTCATGCAGAGAGGACAGGATTCTACAACAGTGTGTATTCAGCTCATTCGTGGTAATACCTCAGCATATACAAAGAGCAGGTAGCCTTGACTGAAAACCAGGGTGACGTCTTGCAGGAAATAATGACTGACCTAAAATTTGAAGACTAAGCCAGGCATGGTGGTGCATACCTTTATTCCCATCACTCAGGAGGCAGAGGCAGGAAGATCTCTGTGAATTTGAGGCCAACCTGGTCTACATAGCAAGCACCAGACAATCCAAGGTTTAAAGTGAGACCCTGTATAAACAAATAAATAAATACACAAATAAAATTTGAAGGCCACACTTAATCAGGCAAAGGAAAGAGGGCATAGAATTACTTAAGGCAGAAAGAAGGTCTGAAGTGGTTTGGAACTAAAAAGTGCTTGCTATAAAGCAAAGTTGCTGAATAAGAAAAGTTATTTAACAGAACTATTAAATGAAGAAAAGAAGGTCATTGCATTGATTTGTAAATTCCCATAAGAGAATGAAATTATTCCCATTTTCAATTGATGAACTTAACTTAAATGTTCTGTTTTCTGGAACATTCCTAAAAATAAAATGCAAAATGTATTGCAATGTGTTGATCTATACTATGCATGAATTTTATATATTTTAATGCATTGTTTTAGGAAACTTACTGAAGCTGGGCATGGTGGGGCATGCCATTAATCCCAGAAATCCGGAGGTAGAGGCAAGGGGTCTCTGTGAGATACAGGCTAACCTGGTCTACACAGTGAGTTCCAGTTCAGCTGGGGCTTCAGGGATACCCTGTCTCTAAAAAAGTCAAGAAAGGAGAAACATTGAATTTGTTGAATTAAAATAAATATGAATTGACTCATTTAGAATTTTCATCTGAGTCTCTTTTGACAACTTGTGGGTATCTTATTTTTATCATTTGCAGGGTCCCTGTGCCTCAGCCACATGCTTCTGAAAACATGGACATGAACTACATACCAAGTATCCTCAATGGTATGTTGCTGTTGTTATTTCTTATGAAAATTTGTGGAACGAAGTTACATGCCAATTAGTATTTGATCTTATTTTGCAGTCTTGTTTAGTTCTCCTACTAACAAAATATAGTGTTTTGTATTAGTTTAGGTCACTGTTGGATAATATCTGAAAAGTGCAAATAACTACAATAGTGCCTACTAAGGGCTAGGAATAGTAGTGGGTGATGACAGAAAGCTTATGAGGTATCAGGGTAAAGTTAATAAGAATTTCTTCTAGCACAATAGGGCAACGGTGGTTGAGATTTAATTGTGTATTTCACAATATCTAGAAGAGATTTTGAATGATCTTAACACAAATGCTAAATTTATGAGGTGATAGATCTATCATTAGCCTGATCTCATCATAGACATTGAATACATGTATTTAAATATCTTATTGCACTCCATAAATATATAATTATATGTGAATTAATTTTCTTGTAATTAATCTATCTGAACAACTACTAAGTATTAAAATGATAAAATGTGTTTTAAAAGGAACTTAATTATCAACATAGAGATACTACTGGCTGGAGCAATACTTTAACCCCAAATTTAAAACAAAACAAAACAAAACAATGACAAGGGGCTGGAGAGATGGCTCAATGGTTAAGAGCACTGGCTGCTCTTCTCAAGGACCTGGATTTGTTTTCTCAGTAGCCACATGGCAGCTTATAACTGGCCATAACTCTAGTTTCAGGGGATCCTGTGCCCTCTTCTGGCCTCCACGGTCATTGTATAACACAGATTCAGTTACATATATGCAGGCAAAATACTCATACACATAAAATAAAAATAAATAAAATTTTGAAAATCAGTGACAAGCAGAGATAAAGGTTAAGGCTTATACTTTCAGGAACAAGAAGATGTGTATATAAGAGACGTGGTCACAATCTTATCAGTCTTGTTTATAACTGTCATCATATAATAAGTGTGTGCTTGTGATCTTATCTACAGCTAACAGTAAATTATCTTTCAGTTAAAAGAAATATTTTTAAGTCTCTATGCATAGAATGCTTAGACTTAATCCTGTGAGTGATAGTCCAAGAAATAGCAATTTCTGAAAAAAAAAACAAACTTCAAGCAGGGAGTTTTGCCAAATGATTCTTTATAGTACATCCAGCTTGCTGAGAAGTTCAAATTTCATATTATTTGAATATTACCCAACAATATCTTCTGACATTTTAAAACATTTGAATATTTGTTATAAATTACAGTTCTTCAAAAGTCCACAAAGTATTTGCCTTATTAAGAAAAGAAATTGCCTCCCATTTTGCAACATGCATCTAAGCGTCCATGTAGAGGTGCTATTGTACACACTTTTAAAATATAACCAGTGTGAGTCCAAAAAGAAAGCATTTTTTCTCCATTTTAAAAGTGACTTTCATTGGCATTTTTGTGTTTATATTCCCTTTGAAAATTTTTCCTACTGTCCAATGTCTTTATCGGGTACAGACTGTCACAATAAATGGGTTCATGTGATATTATTACGAGTGAAAGTAACTATAAAAATATGTGTAAGCTCATTTCTTAGGTAGTAGCATATGTTCAAATATGAGCTTCTTAGTTAACAGAAGGGGAGTGAAGTAAGTTTAATTTTTAGACAGTCTAGCTAAACCTCAGGAAGTCTTGCATCCTATCTTTGCTATTGTGTTGATTGGTTTGAACTTAGGGATGATTTCTGAAGTGATTTCATAATTTAATTTAGTTCTGGCAGTATCATTAGAATGGTTTGGATTAAGCGGATCTTATAAGCGATTATTTCTTTGAATTAAACTTTTTAGCCCTCCACCTCCATCTTATTTTTGATGTGATTTTTGTTTTGATTCTCCACCTAGACAGAGGTGGGACTATCATTATGTTCCATAATATCTTGTTAAATATGTCAGTGAATATCTTCAAAGTACTTCAGTGTGATTTCAGTTGATTGTTACATGATACAAAATTTTTGAATGTTTTGTGTGTATATAAGATGTGTGTGCATGTTTCTGTGCATCCATGTGTGAGTGCGGAACCACACGTACCAGGGCACATGGACGTTGAAAGACAACCTTGACATTCCACTTTCTTTGAGATAGGGTCTCTGATGGTTGCCATCATGCACAGCAGGCTATCTGACTCATGGGCCTTAGGGGGTTCTCCTATTTCCACCCCCCACCTAACAGTAGGAGCACCGGGATTACAGATGCATTGTACCCTACCCAGATTTATTTAGGTTCAGGAAATTTAAACTCAGGTCGGCGCATTTGTATGCAAATGCTTTACCCACTGAGCCATCTCTCTAGCCAGTTGAGGGGTATTTTAAACATCTCTATTCTTAAAAAAAAAAATCTATCAATCTTTAAATAATGCCCATTTTCAGAGGTTAAGAGCATGATTCAGTAGTAGAGTATTTGCCTAGCATGTATAAAGCCCTGAGTTCAATTACTAACGTAAATAAATGAATAATTAAATAAGTAAATAATATGCTCTCTGCATTTTCTAACCTTGCTTGTTAGATTTATTGTGGTGATTAATAATGCCTCAGTTTTACATGTTACATTGCAAACAAACTGTTCTCTAAATAATGAATAATTTAACCAAAACTTCAACGAGCGTTTTAAACCATTTTAGTAAAAGAAAAGTTATGTCTAGGGGCTGGAGAGACAGCTCAGCGGTTAAGAGCACTGACTGCTCTTGCAGAGGACACGGGTTCGATTCCCAGCACCCACATGGTAGCTGTGAACCGTCCTTAACTCCAGTTCCAGGGAGATTTGAAGCCTTCTTCTGACCTCCGCAGCATTGCACGAAACAGGTGCACTCACATACATGCAGGTGATACACTCATACACATAAAATAAAAATAATAAATAAAATATTAAAAAAAGAAAAGTTATTTCTACAAAATGGATCAGAACTCATATGGAAAAATGTATTTTCCAAACTAAGAATAACTTGAAATTTTAAAAAGTTGCTCAGAAAATGGATTTTATCTGAATGCTAGGTTCAAAATATTAAGGAGAAAACATAATTATTTCTAGGTTTTGTGTTTCTCTGCAAAATATAATATCCAATAAATCAGTTAAATTCCTATTAATTCAGTTTGTAAGTGTCATAAGGATATTTATATAAGTGTCTGCTTAGGGCATCACTTCTGAATTACTTACCAAAAGTATAGTACTTCTTGTATTTAAATTATGATAGTACCAACCACTAATTAAGCATTCCTGTGTCGGGTACTTTCACATTCCCTCCTATCCCATACTATTGAGAAGAAACCTTTTAGCTTTTTTGTTTGTTTTTTTTTGGGGGGGGGACAGGGTCTCCCTATAGCCCCAGCTATCCTGGAACTCACTATACAGACCAGGCTGGCCTCAAACTCAAAAAGATTTTCACCTGCCTCTAAGAAGAAACCTTTTATTCAGTTGTAAGCTTATCCATTATCATTATTTTAGAAAGGATTGGCTCTTCTACTAGAGAAAGAAAGAATTTCAAAGGCATCCTGCTAGACTAGTAATGAAAACAGGCTGGATTCTAGTTTAAATTGCAGCCTGAAAGCCACAAAACCAACTGGAATGGCTCACTCTTCAAAACCATGGAAAATGAGAAGAAAGCATTAGAATTTAAATACATAATGAAGCTCAAAATATCAATGCAAGATTCCCAGGGACCAGAGCATAATAGTAAGTTAATTTCAATAGTCAACAGAAAGGAAAACTAAAACAGCTCAAGAACTGCACAATCAAATTACAACAAACAAAACCCTCAGAATGTTTTAAATACGTTTATGATTTTGTGTTAGCCTAAATTCATATCTGTCCTTGGCTACATGATGCTACCTGCAGGCTGCAGGTTGGCTAAACCTGACTGCTAAGACCATAGGCCTCCTGCATCTGAAAAATGACTAATATAATGCCTGGGAAGCTATAGAAAGCCAGGGAAATTAAGTTTTAGTGTGGGAAATTGTCAAAGAGCTTCTTGTATGCCCTGAGCATTGGGTCACCTGAGAGAAATGACATCTTGAAGGTGTGTAAAACTTCATAAGACTCAATTTGTGAGGGCATTGACCAAGAAATGTATACTTGATATATGGTTCATAATCAGTGGGATCAAGACCCAGAGGCCTTAACAAACAATGATGTGAAGCTTTCTTTTTTTAAATTTTTATTTATTATTGTTATTTTATGTGTATGAGTGTATTTCTTGCTTGTATATAAGTGAACCCATAAAGTGCGATGCCCTCAGAAGTCAGAATAGGATGTTGGATTCCCCTAGAACTGGAGTTACAGACAGCTCTTAACCACCATGTGGGTACTGGGAATCGAACCTGGGTCCTCTGCAAGAGCAGCCAGTGCTCTTAACTGCTGAGCAATCTCTTCGGCCCCGTGAAATTTTCTTAATGGGAGGCTTCTTATAACCTGGGTGCTTGCAACTACCATTGAAAATAATGTCATCAGAAAATAAATTCATAGTTAAAAAATTATGAGTTTTTTAGGAAAGGAACTACTTCATAGGATTGTGATAAGATGTAACATAGAAGAATCTTATATCCCCAGAAGAAAAATCACAAAAAAGACTTTAAAATAAATATATGCTTAGGTAGTTCAAGGAATGGATATGAACTGGAAGTCCTGCCACAGATCAATATGAAAAAAGAGCCGATATACATTAAAAACACTTAGTGGAAGATGAAATGAAGAGCAAATGAATGTAGGTGAAGAAATCATTAATTCATTTGGAGATCAGTATAGAGGAAATAATACCAGAGATCTGCAAAAAGTATAGGAAGGTGCAAGAGAAGTTCAGGTACATGGTGGATAAGATGAAGAAGTCCAATTGATTCCTAATGAAACTGTGTGAAGACAGAACAAAGATTACCAAAAAGAAGCAATATTTGAAGTATTTTTATTTAAAGGTTTATGTCAGTCATTAAACTAAAGGATCACAGTGAACTCTAGACAGAATAAAGAGAAATGTATATTTAGGCAAATCATAGTGCGCCTACAAGATATCAAAGATACTTTAAACATATCAAAAGCTACAAAAGATTTAAAAAAAAGATCCACGATGAAAATCTAACAAAACTAGAAGTTTTTCATTGGCAATAATGGATACTTTTACATAGTGGCGTAGCGTCTTAAAAGTTGCTCAAAGATTTGAAAAGACATTTCTGATCTATAATTCTATGTCTAATTAAGCAAACAAAAGCGACGGTAAAATAAAGATATTTTCAGATATGTAGAGACTAAGAAGAGATAGGAAGAGTTTTAATAAATGAGCTAGTAACGAATTATAAAAAAGAGAAATGAAACCAAAGCACAATTTAAGAAGAAATGGTAAGAAGGGGAGTTGGTAGGGTTGGGAGTGTAACACATGTGTAGGACATTCTGTAGAATGCATAAGGCCAAAGTTAAATTCTCAGTGCTGCAAAAAAAGGGGGGGAAAGAAATGAAGTTGGCAAAATGTTGGTGAATGTAAATGTGTACATTCAAATTAATGATGGTGTCATAACAATTGTAATGATAGAGATAATCACGGGATTTAATAACGAAACTAACATAATTAGCCAAAATGGGTGGGAAGTGGGAGTTACAACAGTCTAATATTGTAGTTTTCTATTGACATGTAATAGTTGTACATATTAAGTGTAATGTGATGTTTCAGTTCAAGTCTACATTAAGCAGTTATTAAATCATATTGATTAGTATATTGCCTGGAGTTTTATTATTTTATTATTTTATTAGTATATATTAATTATACATTATAATGGGTTTCATTATGATATTTTCTTATGTACATAATATGTTTTGATCATACCCACTTTCCATTACCCTGTATTAGCCCCCTCCCATTCCTGTTGATCCCCTTTCTCTTCCCAACTAGTTCCCCTTCCAGTACATTCAATGTCCTGACTGCTATTTTGAGATATATCATACAGTATTGTTAACTACATTTACTGTTCTGTGCCATAGAACACCAGAAATTTTTCTTCCTATATTAAGTGTAGCATTGAGCCATGTTGCCTAGCCTCCACTCAGCCTCATTCCCCCACAGTTTGCCTAGCCTTCACTCAGCCTCATTCCCCCACAGTTTGCCTACCCTGCACTCAGCCTTATTCCTGCACAGTTTGCCTAGCCTGCACTCAGCCTCATTCCCACGCAGTTTGCCTAGCCTACACTCAGCCTCTTTCCTCCACAGTTTGCCTAGTCTCTGGTAACAACTGTTCCACTCTCAACATGATCAGTAATTTTTTGATTTCATATGAGTAACAGTATTTGTCTTTCTATGCTTGGCTTATTTTAGTTAACATATGTGTTCCAAGTCTATCCATGTTTCAACAAATGACAAAATTTCATTTGTTTTTGACATTGTTATAGAAATATGCAGAGACTGAGTAATTGAAAACTTTGTCTTTTTAAGCATTTAGGTTAAAATTTAAGGACATGCTAAAGAAATAGAATGTATAATGTCTGAGGTAGCACATAGAAAGAAGGAAATTAGGAAAATTTGGCCAAGGCATTGAAAAACAGGAAAACCAGGAATAAGAAAAAATAACACGGCTGAAATAACTCTGAATACATCAGTAATTTCAATATATATAACAGGTTAAACTGTCAGATTTCATCTTTTTAAAAGTAATCCAGTTATTCTTTGCATGTAAGAGGATATAAGCAAAATTCTATAGAAAAGTTGAAAGTAAAGGAATGACAAAATAGAATCGAAAGGTACCAAAGCAATGTCTATATGATATATAATGGAATTTAAGGCAAACAGTTCAAGTAAATAAAAAGAAGGACAATACGGGATGTACAGATTAGGAATGGACCTTCCACCAAGAAGATAAAAATAACAAATGCATACCCATTTAATAATGTGGTCTCAAAAATTAAATAAGTCAATAGACATTTATGGGTTCTTTTCCATTTTTAGAATGGGTTTCTGTGATTTTTTTTCATTTTCTTTTGTTTCGTTGACAGTTCTAGACATCCAACATAGGGCCTCCTGCATGCCAAGTGAGGGAGCACTCTACCAGGAGAACCCTCAGGCTAAGAACAGATTCTTCATTGAATCTAAAGGAATAAATACTTTACCATAAAAGAACAATATTTGATAATAGTTTAAATTTTTGAGGGGATAATCAATCCAGTAGGGATAAAATTGTTTTAATTTTGTTAAAGTTATATTTTACCAAGTTGCTATAAGGTTCAGATGCCCAAAAGAAGAAAACTTTCTTATATCTGGAAATCAAATAATTTTTCTTTCTGCCGGTCCTGAGGAAGGAATCCAAGGTCAGATGACTGCATGTGCTGCCTTCTCAAGTAATGTTTTAAACAAAAAGTCATGCCAAAAATCATAATCTACTGTGGGGTTGCAGCTCAGGGGAAGAGAACTCATTTAGCATGTATGAGGTCCTTGGCTCAATCCCCACATTCATCAAAAAAGAAAAAAGATCTTACTATATTATAAAAGAGTAATTGACATAGATAGGGTCATAGGATTGTACATAATGCATCCTCCTCTTAAAATAATAGAAGAAGGGCTGGGGATATAGCTGAGTTGGTAGAGTGTTTGCCTAGAACACAGGAAGCTCTGGGTTAGATCCTCAAGTGGGTACCGTGGCACAATCTGAGAACTTAAGTACGTGAACAGAAGTTCAATGTGAAGTTCAAAGCCAGCTTGGCCTAATGAGACCATGTATCAAAAAAGTTTTAAAAATCTAACAAACAGAAGAATTATTAAATATACAAATATGCAGATATCACTGAAAACTGTGATGAAAGAAACCTTTTAAAAAGACAAAGAGGAAAAAATGATATTCATAGAAGATCAAAGACAATCATGATAGCAAATTTCTCTCAAGTAACTACATAATCTCAAATGATACCTTATTTACTGGTTGAAGTGTAAATGAGTTCATTCATGCTCACTTCTGCACACATATACTGAAATTGGAATGATGTAGAGAAGATTAGCATGGTTCCTGCATCAGAATGACAGGCAGATCAATGAGGTGTCCCACAATTTTCTGGAAATTATATTATTATTTTAGGTGAGCCAAACTCAGAAAGATAAAAATTGCATGGTCTCTCTTATATGGTGATCTTAGCCGAGAGAGGGGGGGGAGAGAGAAAGAGAGAATTGTGGGTAAGCCACAGAACTAGAATGGAGACCAAGGGAGGGTAGAAAGAGGTGACGAGGAAGGATGGAGAATGGGCAAAAGGATAAATGAGACATACATAGAAGGAAAAGAGGCTGGAGGGAAGGATAGAAAGAGGAGTTAGGGGGAATGGGGTGGGGGAGATGAGGGAATCACTAAAATATACTTTGTTTAAATGTCATAGTATCTAATATATTGTATGCTAATTTAAAAAATACAAAAATAAACCATTACAGCCCTTATGAAAATCATGACCAATATTTTAAAGTACTAAAATCAAGCGGGTGGGGGCGGTCTAGAGAAATGGTCAGTGATTAAGAGCCCTGGCTGCTCTTGCAGAGAACCTGGGTTTGGTTCCCAGAACCCATATGGCAGCTAACAACCATCCATAACTCCAGTTCCAGGGGATCCTATGCCTTCTTCTGACCTTCACATGTATTACATGACACAGGTGCACTTATGTACATGCAGGCAATGTACTCATACACATAAAATAAAAATAAATAAAAAATTAAAGTACTAAAGAGGAAAGAATCTGTGAAACTACAATTTGGAATACAGTTAATATAACTTTCAAAAATAAAGTCAAAATAATGGCAAAGAAAACCTAAGAAAACACATCACCACCTGACCTAAACAATAAAAAAACACTAAAAATTCTTCAGGCAGAAAATTTACAATACCTGATGAGAATTTACATTTAAATAAAATACGATGTAAGATATCAGGAATGAATATGAATACACTGAAAGTTACTGCCTCATATTTAATCTCCCTTTGATCAAAAAATAATAAAAATATATTATGTGGTTGCTAGTTACATTTCCAATAACGCAGCAAAGAATGTTACACTATGTACTTTTCTTCGAAAAGATCTAAACATTCTATGTGAATCACCAAAAAACAAAACTTCAAAATAAATTAAACAAAGTCGGTAACTGAACAGTAAGATAACCCATAATGCATTTGAGTACTGGTATCCTTTCAAAATGTAAATAGGAAAAAGTAGAAAGAAAATTTTTAAAGTGGATGTAAAAGATATTAACCAACCAATTTGATCTGAGTGATGTTTGTGGAACACTGGACCTAAAAACAGGAGAATACACTCTCATTTCAAGTACACATGGAACATTCACCAAGATGTGCTATATTTTGACCACAAAACAAGTCTTAGCCAATTAAAATATCTTTGGGAAAAATAAAAGTACTTTTGTTATTTCTTTCCAATTTGGGTGTGCCCATCTGTTCTTTCCCTCCTTATGTTATTTATGTTTTTAATATTTAAATTTTTTTCATTAAATTTATTTTATTTAGGAGGGGAAGGGTGTACATGTATGCTACAGCTCACATATGGAGGTCAGAGGACAACCTGTCGGAACTGGTTCATCCTCCCACCATGTAGATCCCCCCAATCAAACTCAGATTGTCAGGCTTACAGCAAGCACCTTTACCTGCTGAGCCATGTCACCAGCTCTCTCTCTCTCCCCCTCCCTCCCTCCCTCCCCCTTTCCCTCTCCCTCCCTTCCTCCCTCCCTCCCTCCTTTCTTCTCTCCTTCCGTCCCTCCCTGGCTCCGTTTCTTTCTTTCTCATGTGCTTTCTTGTCTGAATGCTGGATACAACTTCCAGTACAATGTCAAATAACAATGGGGAAAGTGAACATCCTTATCTCATGCAGGATCATAGGGGAAAATCATTTAGCTGAGATTAGGCAGGTTCAGGGAGGTACAGCCATAGATGAAAGAGAAGTCTTTCATACTTCCCCATTAAGGGGTTTTTCTTGTTTTTTATTTAAATTAATATTATCATCTCAAGCAATTCCCCCTCAATTCCTAGTTCGATAAGTGCTTTTCATCATGAGTGGGTGTTGGATTTTGTTGAACGCCTTTTTTCTACATTATTAGAGATGTCATTATCCATTCTTGAATAAGGGAGATGTATTTATTTTCTTATGTTGAAAAACTCTTTAACATTTCTCAGAGAAATACCACTTGGTCAGGGTGTATAATCTTTTCAATAAGATTGTTTCTTGATAATTTTTCATAATTCTGCATCTGTATTAGGAAACACTATTATGGGATATTGGCATGTAATTTTCTTTTCAAGTGTCTTTATCAGGCTTTGCTATCAGTAATAATGGCTTTGTAGAAAGGGTAAAGAAGTATTCATCTTGTTTTATAACCATTTAGAGAAGGAATTGTGGTTATTCATTTTTCCCCAGTAGTGGATACTGAGCCCAAGGCCTCTCACTGAGCTCGCTCTCCAGTCCAATTCTGCTTTTAATGTTTCATAGAATTCACAGGTGCAGCTATCTGTTGCTGCACTTCACTTTTTTGGGAGGATTTTGAATAGTACTTCAATCTCTTTGCTTACTACAGGTCTTCTGAGAATTTCTATGTGTTCTTGGGTAAATGTAAGCAATTTCTTTCTTCCTAAGCAATGTCTATTCTATTATCTGATTTACTGGCATATAATTGCTTATAGTAGTCCAATATAAAATTTTTATTGCTGTAATGAATCACACTTTCATTTCTGATCTAGTCATTTGTATCTTGTTTTTTTATTGTTCAGCCTATATAAAGAATGTTTTGGCTGGGGAGGTACCACAATTGGCAAAGTACTTGATATACAAGCATGAGGACCAGGTTTTGATTCCTAGGACACATGTTAAAGGAAAAAAGCTAGGTGAGATGGCAGGCACTTGTAATCCAAGCAAAGACAGGAGGATCCTTGGGGCTTGTGAGCTAACTGCCCAGCTTAGCTTACTTGGTGAGTTCCAGGCCAATGAGAGAACCTGTCTCAAAAAAAAGGGTAGAGGACCAGTGAGATGGCTCAGTGGGCAAAGCTGTTTCCCAAACCTAAGAGGAAAACTTTGAACCCCAGGACCCACATGGTGGAAGGACAGAATGACTCCTCAGAGTTTGCCTCTGAACTATGCCTACCCACACACAAACACTAAATAAGATGATAGATAGACAGATAGATATGAAAAATATGGCCAGCATGGTGGTACGTATCTTTAATCCCAGCATTTGGGAGGTAACTGTGGGAGGCAGAGGTAGGAGGATCTCTGTGATTTCTAGGTCAACCTGGTCTACATAGTACATTCTAGGAAAGCTGGGGCTACCAGGAGACCCTGTCTCAAAAGACCAAAATACTAGATAAAATAAAGAGTAATTGAGGAAGACACCCAACACTGTCAGTATAAACATATGCACAAAAGCTCTAAAGTATTTAGTTTTCTTTTTCTAGTTCTTCACAGTATATTTAAGTTACTGATCTGAGAACATTTTTACTATCAGCATCGCCACTGCCTCATCATATTCCATAGGTTTTATATTTTACTTGCATTTGTATTCACCTCAAGATATTTTCCGATTTCTCTTATGATTTCTTTTTCGACCCATTAGTTAAGATCCTGTTTTATTTTCACATATTTGTGAATTCTCTAATTTATGTAAGTTTATTCTGTGGTAGACAGGAAAGTTATTTGAATGGCTTTGGACTTTTAATTTTATTTATTTTTCACTGTTATGTGTATGAGTGTTTTACCTGTGTGTATGTAAGTGCATCTGTGCATATAACACTGTTAGAGGCCAGAAGAGGGCAATGAATCACCTAAACTGGGTTAAGGATGGTTGGTAGCTATCATGTGGGTACTGGGAACTATTTCCAGGTCCTCTGTAAGAGCAGCCAGTACTCTTAATTGCTGAGCCATCTTTCCAGCCCTAGGGATTTTTAAAATTTATTCAGACTTGTTTTGTGACCTAACATATGGTTCATCTGGGAACCATTTGTTCTTGAGAAGAATGTGTACTCTGGTGTTTGTGGTGAAGTGTTCTAGATGTCTGTTCTAATTGGTTTACAATATTGTTTAACTCTATTTTCCTTATCCATCTTCTAGCAGATGTCCTAGCCATTATTCAAGGTGATGTACTAAAATCTCCAACTACCATTATAAAGCTATTTCTCTCTTCAATTCCATTAATGTTTTCCTTTTTAATTTTTATATACGGTCATAATTATTAGTATATTGGTGACCTTTTTTAGTAATTTCTTTTGTCTTTTAGGAGTTGTTGACTTATAGTCTTTTTTGTCTGGTATTCTTAGCTATTCTAGTTGTCTTTGCTTAGTATTTACATAGAATATCTTTTCTATCTTTGTGCTCTCAATTAACTTTTGTTTTACTTTTATAGTGATTCTTCTATAAAGAGCAAATATTTGTGCCATTTTTTTCCATTTGCTTAACTATGCCCTTTGATTAGAGAATTTAATCAATTTATACTTATAGCATATGTGATCAGGATGGACATAGTTTTTATATTTTTCTCTTTGTTTCCTACATATCATTTTCATTGTTCCTTATTTCCTTCATTACTATATTGTTCTGTGCCTAGATTTTTATAATGAACTATCTTGATTATTGTCTCATTTTCTTGTATATGTGTGCATATTTTTGTATGCTTGCATGTATTTAAAGATAAAGTTGTATCTTGGTATCTGCAAGGTGTAGATGTAGGACTTGCAACAGATACCAAAATTTTCTTATGCTCAAGTACCTTACATAAAAAGCTGTAGTTTGTGCATATAACCTATGCATGTCTTGCTATATTATTTAACCATCTCTGGATTACTTAGAAGAGCTAATTGAGTATAAATGCTGTGCATATAGTCATTATGTTGTATTGTTTTCAGAGCAATGAAAAGAAGAAGAGAAGTGTGCACATATTCAGTATAGACAATGTTTTTAAAATACTTTTAATCCAAAATTGGTTGAATTTACATCTGCAGTACTTACAAATACAGAGAGCTAACTGTCTTTCACTTGTGATTATCTTGAGGGTTAAATATAACACCCCAAGTTTACAGCA